CGGACAGAGCAGACAGTGAAAGGGTGAAAGAGTGCTTGAGAAAGATCTTCAGAAGTTAAGAGGGGGCACTTCCCAGCTATGGTTTCATCTCCTGATGTCCTCATCCTCAGCAGCAAGGAAGAATCCTTCAGGGTTTTTTTTGACTTGGCAGATTCTTGTAGTTGTTGGGGAAGGGCCACCGCCTTCTTCCCACAAATTTCCGCTGAATAGTACAGTCAGCCCCAAGAGTCAGAGCGAGGGAGGTTGTTACCAGCCTCCTGTCAACGGGGATCAGCAAGCAAATGAAACAGCTCAAGTTAGGTCCGTGGGCTAATAGGAAATCAAAGATCAGCTGTAGCCTTTTTGAACAAGTGGTTGCACTGAAAGAGGCTTAGGTTTTTTACAGCGCTGTCTTTGTGTAATGGAGATTTTTGTTTCCCGTCATTGATCAACCTGCTTCACCACCCCATTGCTATGATGAACTCCTTCAACTATTTATATGGTTCAAATGTACGGACACTGCCTAAAAAAAACTGAAAAAAATCTTAAGGCAGAGTTTTAGGAAATTGTTCAGAAGTCTTAGAAACTGAGTCACTGGGGATGGGCATAACTTTGCTTCTTTCTTCCAGCTGGCTGCTGTGTGTTTGGCAGATAGGGATTGAACTGAGAAAGGGTCCTGGAGTTCAAATGCCTCCCCTGCCTGCAGCAAGGTGGAGCATGGCACAGGATGCAGGTCATCACAGATAACAGCTGGGTGTATCAGGGTCCCAGCTTCCCTCTCCCACGTTGCTTACTCTGCTCTCTCCCCCTCCTTCACACACTGCTTGGAGGGAGGTTCTCAGATAAGATACGCTTTTCAGAGTTTTTAACAGCTCTTTAGCTGGCTAAAGTCCGTGTCACAGGGCACATCCTGCTGATTCAGCAGTAGAGGGCAATTCCTGTCTCAAGAGGAAGCAGTGAAAAAGAGAGAAATGCGTCTCCTTGCCTTAGGAGGTATGAGTTACACCTTGCAAACTCTGTCTGTCTGAAACGTGGACCAACGTTACAAAACTATACTGTCTCACTGGTGTAGTTAAAGTTGTATAATTTCTCAGTGGCGGACCCAGTTGTATGGATATAAATGTAGTCATCAGCATTTACCAGCCACTAAATTATGACTTCAGCTGAAATAATTGTCCTGCTGCACCGAGCTGTGTGCATACCAGGCTTTGCTGGCTGTGGGATGAAATTTGGTGTGGGGAGGGACGGGGGGAGTCTAAGCAGATCAAAAAAATGACTTAAGGGGGGGAAAAAAAGGTTTTCTTGGCATTTCAAACAGTTTTAAACATATTCGTAATTCATTCATTATTCCCTCTCCCTCAAATTCTCTTTCTAAACCTGTTATCAAAACCATCAGCTAGCCAATAATTAGAACACCACCAACATAGCCAATAATTGTTTGATATTAAAAATGTAAAAGTACACAAGAATAAAAGGCACATCCTCTTACATTATGTAAAGAGTTGACAGCATTCATGAATGTTGTCTTTCACTTCTCCAGGGGGGAAAAAAAAAGATATTTTTTACATAAGGAGTGTTTCTGTTAAAAATCTAGCACAGTCTTCTCACTGTCCTTACTCACCTCCCTGAAATGACTGTGATTCTTGAGGGCAGGGGAAAGGGGCCTGTATTTTTGACATGGTACTGATATGTCTCAGGAGAACCTCTGGCTGTAGTAACTCGTTTATACAAGAACTGCTTAGGGGAGGATGGGTGTTGCAGGTACATGCAGGTGTGTCTGAACTTAGAAGGAGAAGAAGCTGAAAGGTAATGCAGAAGGAGAAGCTCTGTGGATACTTTTCAGCCTTATGTGTTCAAGAGGAGGCTGGGAAAGGAAGGAAATAAGCAGCATATCACAAAGCGAAGAGAGCTGTGGCATTTTACAGCAGCTGAAGATCTCCTCCACGGTGTTTGTACTTCTTTCATGTGGTGTTATCAGGGTTCCTTTCAAGGGTTTATTATCGTATTCTCCCAGACAGAAAGCAGACAGCCATCCTGTGACCTACATCCTGAGTTTTGCAGACCTTCTTGTCCTGTGCCATCTGGGATATTTATAGTGTGACCCGCCACTGGGAGAACAGAGGACTTCCTTTATACTCTAAACATTATGTTATAATAATAATGAGAAACTGGGACAAATGACAAGCCTTGCTGCCCACAAAATGTCATAACCCTGCCACTTTAAATGACACAAGTTGGCTAGGTCACTGTGCTATTTGTTCAGTTGATTTCAGATTACTGCTTGTTCTTGCTACTGTAGTGAAACTGAGGCTAAAGGTTCGGTGTGGCAGAATGCAAAAAGTACCTCAAATGCTCTGCAGGCTAAATGGAGAAGAGAAGGAATGAAAGGAGAAGCTACAACTTCTCACTTAGGCCAACATCTCTCCACACAGTCCTTCCCAAGGATTGTCTGTTAAACTGATGACAAAGCGAGATACAGCTAGCCCATTATTAAGTACAGTGCTGCAAAGCTCGGGTGAAGCATGTTTTCCTGACCTGCACCCTCAAAGGGACGTAAGGGCTTTATTCCTGTCGGGTTTGGTGAACACTTGCTTTGATCTTGGCTTTAGTTACAAGAAATACAGAATCACACAGAATCGTTTAGGTTGGAAGGGACCTCTGGAGATCATTTAGTCCAACCTCCCTGCTCAAGCAGGGGCCTCTAGAGCATATTGCCCAGGATCACATCCAGACGGGTTTTGAATATCTCCGGGGAAGGAGACTCCACTACCTCTCTGGGCAACCTGTTCCAATGCTCCGTCACCCTCACAGTGAAGAAGTTTTTTCTCAGAATACCTTTTTTCAAGGTGTGAAACAAAGGAGCTGGCTCCCTGATCAGCCACCCTTACTTTCTGCTCCACAGCCCCTGAAATATATGACATTCCTGTGGGTTGGCTTTAGCACATCTTTGGATAAACTGTGCTAAGGGATTCCCCGGCGCCTATTTTTCTTTCCCTCAAGAAAGGGAAGATTCAGAGAAGAACAGAGAAAGAGAGAGAGAGATAATCCACGTTTAATTGAAACTGGGTCCGGATACCATTGTTACCAGAAGAGGCCAAATGTGCTTTAGGGCTAGAAGAGGTCAGTGAGAGAGATAAAGAAGATGAGGTATGTGCAGAGTAAGATAAGAGCAAAGGGTCTTCTCTGATTAGCAAAGGGTCACGGCTGTGTGGGCCCAGTGTGAGTTAGCTGGTGACTCAAAGTAGTGCTGGAGAGAGGGCACAGGGAAGCCCTGCAGCTTGAAGGATTTCTTGCTTATTGAGCCAGAACCCATCCAAGGGAGGGCTTGTCAGCTGCAGCGGCCAGAAACATGTAGTCCTCTCTTCCTTAATCTTTCCTACATTTCCATCTGACTTGCTTTGCAGGCTGGGGTGGCCCTGAGTGTCTACGCGTTTTCCTGGTGGGTGCATGGACAGTGCTGCCCTATAGGATGTTAATCAGCCCCTGTGCCCTGTGAGTTGGTACAGTGTGTTGAACCCTTTGCTGTGATTGGTGTTAATCATAGTTTGCTTCAGTAGTAGGCAGTAACAGGAGAAAAGATATGTCCTGAGCTGGGTGATCTTCCTTGTCTGCTCCAGATAACATCCATTCAGGATCTTCCAAAGCACTAACTGCTGCCTGCTCCCATTGCCTGAGCTGGCACTGATGGCAGATGGCTGAGGCTATTGCAGGCCAACATCAGCCTTGATACTGCTGCCCTTCTGTTTCCAGAGAGGATGGGTGGTGGTGGGTGGGAGGAAGTGCAGAAAGGCCTATGCAGTCATGTCTTCACCTTTCTCACTGAGCATATAAGCTCTCTAACACACTTCCAGCCTCTGCTCCTTGCTTTGAAGGATCAGGTCTCCATGTAACAGGACAATTTGGTCTGTAGGCACTCTGGAAACTTCTTCCCGGTGTAGCTCATAGTAAATAGTTCGGTTATGTTGTATATGGCTACTACTGAAAAAGTAATAAACAATATTTGTGCATGAATGCAGGGAGCAATGCTAAGGTGAAGATTAGAAACAAACAAACAAAATCCTATCAGCAATTGGAAAGAGCTGAATGCCTTCCTTCTCCGACCTAGGGAAAAACTAGGAAAACTGCTCTCTAGATTAAAACTGGGTGGAAGATGAGATTATGTTGGACTAGAGGCTTTTATACCTCAAGAAGGTGGGGAAGGAGAGGGTATAGTGAGATCAGATTGGCTGGATTTTGGAAGGAAACGGAGAACAGAACTACCACAGTCATTCCTATGTGCAGTATCCCCTAATCCGTGTGGTCTCTTGTTCCACAGGGTTATTGGTGACACATGAGGAGTTCCGGGATGCACCATTTGCTTCTCCACGGCTTACATGTGAGTGTGACCGTGAGGCCTCACTTGTTTATTAGCCAAAGACAAAAGACAGACCTGCATGCTCCAGCCATTAGCGTGACCTACACTTTTGCCTAAAATGGGTAGGTTTTTTTTATACCTTGATGTGATAACTTAGCTTTCTCAAGGTTCTATCAGCACAGACACAGAGCATGCTATTTTTTACTCCAATATAGCCAAGCTATCCTATCCCAGTGCCATTTCAACTTGTGCAAAGGGAATGGAAAATGCTCTGAAATGGTAGCTTTAGCTAGCACAAATGGCTGGTTGCCAGGCTGTAAAGGAGGACCAGACACTTGCACAGAGGCAGAACATACCCTAAAGGTAGCTAACAGACAGTATACAACTTGGAATTATGACCTAGAGTCTGTGAAGACCTGGGAAAGTTTAGATATGGAAAGTAATTTTTTTAAAGTAAACACATGAAAGAGGAAAGACAATTTCTGTACCTGATGGTATAACAGGACTACCACAGTGTCAGATTTTAGTGTAGTGAAGTAGCAGTCCCCTGGAGAATACTGCAGCCTTTTAACACTTCACTGATACACTTACTTTCTCCAAGGTTATGCAAACACCAGGGCACATGTTCCATTTTGCCCCACACTAAAAACAAATCCACAGAGGAGCGTATTCATGCAAAATCTTTATTTGGAGAATATCTCCTTGTTCGATACCAGCACCCCTCCAGTCTACATGAAGCACAAAAATACAGTATTTGTATTGTGCAGAAAAAATACAAAGAAATTCTTAAAACACATTCATCCTGTGATATCATATAAATACTACTGTAATTGCTTACCCCTTTTTCCTCCCCTCTATCCCTCTATCTCTGCCCTTGGGCTACCTAAAGTAGAAATCCAGGTCAATGAGCTAGTACTGGTTTTGAAGGTAGGCCACAGTATGTTGAAAGTCAGTATGGAGAATTACTTGCATTGTTTAAAGACAAAGACACAGGATAACTATACACTGTCTAGCACATACATCTCCTTGTTTTCCTTCCAGCTTAGGAATAACTTTTGGAATGGTTCTAATTATTTTCTCTGCCAGTCCAGAGCTAAAAAGAAGGCTGTTGAGGGTGGAAAGTTCCTCCTTCATTTTATAATCTGTATCTTATTGTGGTTTCTCTTGGCTCAGCCACTTGGCGGTCACTTCTGACTTAAGTTCTCTTCACCCTCTCCCTGCTGTGCAGCTCTGCAAGCCATATTGCAAACATATTTTTCAGCATGGGTGGGAGATAGCATTGTGGTTTTGGGCTTTGCTATTGATATCAGGATTTCCTTTTTTCTTTGTTTGAAACATTTTTTTCTTTAAAAATAGAGCTGATGGTAAACAGCTTTCATTTAGTTCCCAGAGGGAAGTAGTTCATTGAACATTTTCATGCGAGAGAATGAGAATTAAAGAGAATTAAGTGAGAATAAGAGAATTAAATCAAAATTGCCCAGCTTTTCTAACAGTTTCAATGATACAGTCATCATCTCATAAAATCTCCAGCTTGATCCTTTGAACTGTTACTCTTCTGTATAGTCCCGATGATATACTTAGTAGACTACTCAGGACTGCACCATCATGGCATTATTGCCAGTGGTATGAAAATAGGTGAGCATTTGATCCTTAACCTAGAAAATACCAATGCCCTGCAAGAGGACTGCTTCACAGAAAACATTCAAAAGGCTGACAAGCTACCAGTCTTTTTCGTTCAATGTAACGTAGGCTATCCTATAGTTTTGTTTCACCTATTTAAGTAAGTGAATGACTCCTGCCAAGGAAAGACTCTGTTCTCAGATATGCTTCCTTCAGTTAGATCTTGAACCTGAGTAACCGTGGAAGAACTTTGCCATTTGAAATGCGAGAACATTTCACTTTTATCGCACTAGTTTTTCCCCTGAAAAGGGGCAGAGAAGAAAATGTCAACATTTTAACCCAAAAGGGAGTTCCAGTACTATAAAACTAACATTCAGTTGGCTGTCCGTGTGCCAAAGGCAACAGAACGTAGACCATAGATACTAATATTGATTTATGATATTAAACAAACAGGAACATTTTACTAAATTCAAATATTTATATATAAATAAGCCTAGTGGAGCTGGTTATTTTCAAGGGGTGCACACATGACAGATTACTTTTATTCCTTGAACACTTCAAACATATACTGTAAACAATCTCTCATGTTTTTTTCCAAAAGTTACTATGTGTTTAAGTGTATAGAATATTTACTCTCAGCGTTCTTGCATTATTCCATGTCCTGTCAAGATCTGAGTCAAGGAATCTTGATGTTTTTAGTACAGGACACAGTTGTCTGCAGTAAAGATTAACCTGCTGGTAAAATCTGTTGTATGAAATACTTCAGTACTTCTTATGTCTAGGAAAGTTTTTTTTTTTTGTTATTAATTGACTACTAATGCTTATTCAAGCATATTGCTGGGCATTTCAATTACCAATGATCTTTAGTCATTAAAAGGACTGTCCCTCTTTTGCCTTTCCCAACCCATCCCTAATTAGCCATGAATCCAACGGGATTTGAAAGACATACATACCCAAAAGCTCTGCTCAAACCACACTTTCTCCTACTCAATTCAAAATCACTCCAGCAAGAGCTGCAGTGGGAGCAGTAGTTACTGATTCTTCATGGAAACAACTTCCAATTTATACTCAGGGGAACCACATGAGGGAGCACTCTTACCTTCCAAAAATGACATTCTTCTCAGGGAAGTCCCTGAGGGTCTTCTTGCTTCACATCTCTCCACTGGGACTCCAAAGTGACTTGCCTTTCTTTGTTAACATGGGTGAATAAAGCTCAGTAGCCCCAGAAGCTAACTAGCTACTTTTCTTTCTCTGACAGAAGACAAGGGCCTGAAACTTTGCATTCACTGCGTATTGGCCTGCCACCAGAGTTGATACTGTAGCACTGACACCAAGTGCTGTTACTTTCACTAACCCTTAGGGTTGACTATCCGTTCTGGATTTCAGCAGGGTATGCGGAAGGAGATGGCAGGTCTTATTTAGCTACCCAGCTCTACAGGAGTCTCCCTGTTTAAACACTTTTAAAATATATAAACCAGGCACTGGTTCTTTGCATGAATTTCTGGGAACGCTTGTGAAAGTAACATCTACCCAACAACCACTTTGACATCTTGTTATTCAACCCGAACTCCCCTAGTTTCAGCAGTATGGCAAACTGGCTACACAACATCTCATAATAATGTGATTTTTTTGAGGAAACAGCTCTGTATTTCCTCCCGAGAATAAAGATAAACACGCAGTTACCCACTGCTGTTCTGTAGTCATATTTCTGCATTGGAGGCGGCACAGGAAACAGACGGCCACATCCTCTTCCTCCATGCCCACTCACCCCGAGCCCCCTGTGATTGCTGTTACCAGTGACAGCTATTGCCATGATAGTTTTATGCACCCATTGAGACAGGCACTGGAGTCACCATTTAGTTTTTTTTTTTTTTTTTTAAATCACATTTAGCGTAAGAGGAGCTTTCCATTGACTGGTATTTGCAACTGTCAAAAGGCTTCTGGAAAGGTGGCAACCTATGGTACTTACCAGCCTAGTGAGACACCTGACATCTTTATTATGACACAGGTACTGTAGAAACACTGAGCCACAATTATTCATAAGACTATTTTATGTATTTCTTAGATGTGTGTACTTTAGTAGGAAAAGAAATAACTAGTGTTGCTAGACAAATACAAAATTTTTACAGCAGTACTACCTCTAGTCTTTCATCTACTGGTCAGTCACAAACTACGGCACAGTAAGGCTTCCTAACTAACTTTCTACAACTTAATTTCTCACTCTTAGGCAATAAAACCTCCCCTTCAAAAATTCTGCTCATTTCCTTTTTTAAGATCTTGGCTCTTTGCATCCGTTGGAAAAGTAATCACTTTACATGACTGATGAAACAGGCATGTTCCAAAATCAATTAAGCCCCTCCTCATCAGAAAAAAAAAAAGATGCATAAAACCCTGTTGTTCCACAAAGAAATGAACTGAAGTAGCAGTACTAGTGATACATGACAATTTAAAGTTCTCCAGAAATTAAGGGTAAATTAAGACCTGCAAGATATTGCCAGACATCTCAGTTTTACTAGGAAGTGGGATGATGAGAATTGAAGCAATTCATTTTAATAAATGGATCTTTGTGGAGAGACCTGTGGGGGGAAACATGTTTTGTACCCATTTACTACCCCCACATGTCCTATGCAGATGCTGGTGAAAAAGCTGGATTTTAAAATAAAGGTGGGTATAGCAAGATTCATGGGAACAGTTTGTCAACAAGTATTGCTAGGGAACATGCACAAGAATTAATAAAACAAATTATACACCACATTTTCTTTTTAAATAAGCTTTAAATAGTCCATATTTAACAGAATCATGTGTTACAGACAAGAATTTCTTGCTGCCAAAGCACAGGATGAGGGTTTTTCCCCTTGTTTTTCCAAATTACAGACTTAGGGGGAAAAAAAGTATTTCAGGAATTTAAAAGAATTTTTTCAAAAAAAGATGTTACAAAAGCAAAAAAGGCCAGTAGAAGAGACCAGTGACGTACATGAATAAGTCATCAGAAGAATGTTAGCAAACAGAAACGCTTACAAAAACCCACACAACAGCAGACATAAAGGCTTTCCAGACACAGATACTATGGAGGCTAACTCAATATCAAACAGAAGAATGTGTTGACTTTATATAAAATCTGTAATTCATGCATTTGTGTGTGCAGATAATATATATTAAAGCCACGTATGTAAATACGTCAGAGAAAATACCTAAACTCCTCCCCAGCAACATCAACTGGCTTCAGGGAAGAATTTAACCCAGGTTTATTTGTTTTTATATACTGGCCTAATCCAAAACCATAATATGTAAAAAGAAACAAAGTGAAAGAAACAAACCAGGTATTTTATCTGAGCTGCTGAGAGACACCGAGACAAAGATCCATACCCACTTTTTGGTAATTACAGTCATTGGAATGCTATGGCAGGAACACCAGCCCAGACAGTTCTCAGCTGTGTTTCAGAAAGTTGCTCCAGGAAGAACGATCCAAGGGTTGAGTGGGGAAAAAACAGAAATTAACCCTGTAGTTCACACATACATACACAGATGGCTCTTTTCACAACAAAATAAGATAACACGACTGAATATGTGGCAGTACGGAGTGTGTATTAAGATACACAAGTGAAATCTGCTTGGGTCACCTTCACTCAGAGGGATAAGTCTTCTTAAAATATAATAATAATAATAATAATACTTCTTTATACTTGCCACTTGTTAGCAATTGTTTACGTCATAGAAAAATAGATAGCATTCTGTAACAAGAAATATAGTTACTTTGTTAAAACGGGCTATTTTAAACGAGCTACTATTCTGTCATATAAAGAATTTCTAAACAGCAAAACAAAAATAGGTACTACTGAGTGCAAAACAGCCAGTGGTATACTTTGCGTTGGTTTGAAACCCTAGTTGCCAGCTATTGTAATTACATGTTCTGTACACAGTACTACAAAAGTCCTCATCTTTTAGAAGCTGGGGGGGGGGGGGGGGGTTTGCTTTCCTTCTTTCTAGGTGGCCAATAAGTACTTAATCCAAGTAATTTCAAACTTTGGAAGTCAGAAATAATTTCACAATCAATCTTTACTACCATTGTCTTGCATTCTTTCCCCCATTCAGTGCAGCAGCACTTTCTACTTATGGCCAAAAATCCCGTAAGTTAAACAAAGTTTAGACTTCAGAGACTAAGAAGTTTAGCTTATATATTCACATTCTTTTAAAAATCATTTCACTAATCTTCCACATTTACATTTACACCAAAGAGAAAGCGCAGAAGCCTTCCTTCATGCATTTCACCATCCCCGCTGAAGACTGAAACACAGTTCAGATGAAAACTCTTGGCCAACTGTAGGCATTAAATCTTAATGCTACAAAGCCAGATGGTTCCAATGTAGAAGTCAGATTTTTCTGTGGTCTGTGCAACAGTTTTGTATATGAATAGCTAATTCCTAGTGGCATTGGTAAAGGCATCATCAGTACACCATGAACACCACAAATGGAGGCAATTTCCAAGCATCAAAAAACAAAAACAAACAAAAAGCACCCAGCAAAAATTGGTGAAACATTCTTCGTAGAGCAGAAATCTCTCTGTTCTCATTGCCATTCATCTCACACCTTTTCAACTTTGCTGGGGTCATATGTATCTGAAAAAGACAAGAAAACAATATTAATAACATATTCTGAAATCTATTCAATGTTAATATGTGCAGCAAGCCAGGGAAATGAGACATCCATTTCCTAATTTTTATTTTTTAAAAAGAAGCTAATACTGGACTGACAGCCCTAAATATACATACTACATTCCTGACCCAAATTCTGTACTCACATCAGTGTAACTAGGAGCTACTCAGATCAAATGTATGGAGATATAATTAGGGAGTCCTTAGGTAGGTAGAAACAAGCTCATTGTCTACTAAAAAATTACTTCTAATTTTCAGATGCTTTGAGAGGGAGGGAGAGAGAGAAATCAGGCTTGCTCCCTTTGGATGGGACACTAAGGGCAGGTAAATTCTGCAAGCTTCCTAGCATGGTGTTTAAGGCTACTTGAAGAAGTGATGATACAGTTTAGTCAGCAGGACCTCTTAATTCAATTGCAGGTCCTCCTCAATTTGAGAATAAGTCAGTGGAATACTGGAAAGCATAGCTGTGTTACATCAATACAGTTAGACTGCCTCCCTTCAGTCAGCAAAACTGTAGCACACAGTTTGAACAATATTCGTAAAAACACAGGCCTGGCATTTTTCTAAATTTTAAGCCCACCCCTTGTCAGTTCACAGCACTGATCACCCTTCATTTTTCTTTACCTCAACTCCACAAGACACTTTTCTGTCAGATTTCTTTGTTGGAATTTATCCAGACATTTGCCATGATGTGAGCATATATGAACATTTTCTTCCATGCTTGGGACTTGGTGACATGATTGCAGCGAAAGAGTTTAGCCTTACATAATCTGCCTGCCCTCCATCGTCATGCACGTCTGCCTTCCTCTAGGCATCTTGGAATGCAACGCAATCATGGAGTGGAAGAACCAGAGCTACCGATGGAGGAGCCTGTAAGTGCACAAGGGCCTGGACAAACTTGCACTGCAGCCTGTGCTACTTGCAACTCTTATATAACTTTGTAACGCTAACCTTAAAAGTCCCTCCTGCAGGCTGTATTCCCATAGCACTCTCATTTGAACAGTTGAGCATGAAAATAGTTGCACACATAAATATCACACTTAGGAGTAAAATGTTCACCCTGAAGACTTTTATGTAGATATGAGTGACTGTCTTCATTCAAACAAGCATAAAACCTCTCACAATGAGAATTTTACTCCTCTGTGCAAGTGTCCATCTGTAGCATCCAAACTTATATCAAGGGGAGATTGGCCAAGAAATGGCCTATGGATTTGTCCCTAGTGGCTGGATTACTGGTGCTGGATCCTTTATCCTTTCTCTTCCCAGCTCTCCTCAAATCGCAAAGCCAGCCAAGAAAAGAGTCTGTGCCGACACTACCTATGTTTTCAGAACTGCTTATCGCCATGCAGCCTCTTCTGGTATTGCCAAACTCCAAGGGCAGACATCACATAAACGCAAAAAACCCAAGAGGAAAATAGTGTTGAGGGTGTACTCCAGGAGAGCACTGCAGCTTTCTAAGCTTAATGCACTCACTGTGTGGGAAGATCCCTCTAAAGCAGTAATGCTTTTACAATTTTAAATGTTTTTCCCATCTAAACGACAAGAATGTACAACAATTCCGAACTGTTCTGCATAAGGTTGACCTAAAAATAGAAACGGATTCACATTTCAGAAACCTAATTTTCCTAAGGCCTCTATGGCCCAATTTTCTCACCTCAGAATTGCAGGTGCTCAGTGTTTCTGGGTGTGTGTGCTTGGGCGGGGGGGTGGGGGGGTGGGGGGAGATGAGAGGAGGAACAGGTCACAACGCATGGAGAATCTGCATGGTTAAGTTTATTGCTTCAAAGCTTACCCAACACCTTCAACATCTAAACTGAGGAAACAGAAGAGCCAGACTGTCAGGAAGAATTCTGGCCATGCCGCATTTCTAGGGGTGCAACATTAGAGTTCTAGCACTGATACAAGCACTTGTTCAAAACTGAGTTAAGCTCATTTGAAATGCTTTCTACAGAAACAAAAAGCTAGATCAGCAGCTTCACAGAAATAGTCTTCAAACAGCAAAAGAGAAAAGATATTCACTGCATTTGCAAAGAGTTGGGCATGTTCTTCTAGTGACAGTATTTGCATAGTAAGATCAGCTTCTTGTGTTGAGTTTCAGCAGAGCTCTTACACTGGGAGATGACTGTTCATCTGCCAAGCTGCTTTATACAGCTAAAAGCCTGTTTCTGCTAAGGCCTGAAGCCTCTATTATGGGCCCTGTCTGCGATTATAAGACTATCACTCTATCTCACTCCAAACAGAATGGACTTTAGCGATATGTACTCTTTAAAAGCAATAAATACAATGGTTTTCCAGAATTAGTTGTCATTTTGGCTTCCAATGGTACCAGTGAGCTATTTTGGAAGTCAGGTGGGATTAACAGAGTGAGACAAAATATCAGGCCCTTCAACAAGGATGAATCTTCAGTCCTGCCCTTTAAGCTAAAGGTGCAGATCTTGTGGCTATCAAAAAAATCAGGAAACGAGGAAGCTAGTGGAGGAGGTTACTTCCTGCCTCATGTGAGTGCGTGTTGTTCCTTGCGGTACAGGATGCGTGTGGCGGGCAGGATGAGCCATGCTATCCTGTCATGGGGAAGGCTGTCACGGTTGTAAGGAAACTGTTCCAGCGGGAACACACTGCAGAATACAAGCCTGGCATTGTCAGTAACAGGCATAAATTTAGACCCAATTTACTGCAGAATAACTCCAAGTACAAGTCTCCAGTAACATGCACACAATGTGTTTTGATACAACCCTGAAGTCATTGTCACCACAACAGTTATTCTCCAGCAGAAACCTCAAAAGAGGAAAGCATATGAGATGCATGTGGAGCATATTAGACCTGATGGGTATAAGGAAGATGAATTTGACTGTTTGGCAAATCTGGTCTAGAGAATACAGTTCGGAGCAGAAAGACACGCACAGCTGTGGGGCACAGAAAAGGTCATGAAGGGAAAGGCTGCAAGATAATGGGAGCCAATACTTAAAATTCATACAATCATTTCTCTTTGGAGGGAAATAAATAAATCCACTTTAAAGTATGCTTGGTTTAATTGCAGTGCCCCTGTAGTGGAAATCTGCAAACAGATTTATATTGATGGGGTTTAATGAATAACTAGCGTAAATTTGAAGGTACGATGTCAGCTGTTACAGGGAGGATGGGAAAAGTAAGGAGAAGATTAATACTAATTTAACAACTTTCACACCATGCATTTGCTCACTCCAATTACTTTAATGTACTGGACTGGGAGATTTATCCTTTTACATAAATCTGTGGCAACAACTTGTTTTTACTGGTTCAACACACTATCACATGAAAACTGTGTCAGAGAGAACACCTCAAGTTACATTGGGGATGCATATGGGCTACAGAAGTTTGTAGGCTTTTGAGAAATGAGGAATAAAAAATAAAAGAAAGGAAAAGGTGCTCAGTGAAAAGCCAGTACGTGTCTATGTAAGTATTAGAGAGGTAAAAATGGGTATTCAGGGAGAGGCTATGATTACATTACCGTGTGTTCCCAAACACTGGCACAACAGTGACTATCTCTGAACTCTCTTTTTGAAGCAGGCAGTTCTCTGAAACACTTAGACAGAGATAAGACCTCAGGGAATGCTCCAGTCTCTGTGAATGAGTCTCAGTATCCCAAGGTAAGTTTTACATTAACTTTTCCTAAAATGGGGTTAGAGAATGCTCATGTTATCTCTTCCACATGGAGAACAAAGGGGATGACAACCAGATGGGGGTAGCACCACCTACAGTCTGTTAGTATTTGAGTGGTATTATGTGACCATAGGGAAAAATGATCATGCCCATTACATAATAAAACAGAACCTACTTGGATCTCAAATAACGGGGTCTTACCTAAACAAAAATCTCTGTCAGTCTTCTTCTTGTCCATTCCACCTAAATATCCATTTTCACTGAGAGAGATAACACGCTTGGAAACACCCCCTGAGCTTGCCGATTTGCTTCCCCTCTCCTCTTGCACCCTTGAGAGCTTCTCCTCATCCACGTCCTCTCCGGAGTCTGCACTCTTAATGCTCAGACGTCTCATCCGCGACACAGAGTCAACTTCCTTCATTCGCACTAAGCGATCCATGGCAGTCCGGCTAGGTGGAGAAGTGAGTTTGCCTTGGAGTGTCTCTATCACTTTTGAGGTGCTTCTCACTCTCTTTTCTGAATGCTGAAACACAGCTGACTTACAAGATAAGTTTTGGTCCTCGCCTTGGCTGGGACCTGCACGTTGTTCGAAAGCTCGCTTGGTTATTGCAGTTTTAGCGCTGGCTTCTTGGTCACTGGTCTGGCATTCATCAGGATATAAAGATCGGCCTCCCTCTCCAACAAAGAGCACGCTCTCTGTCCAGCCACACTTTCGTCTCCCTTCGTAAGAACCATCTTTTTTTCCTTCTTTGCCACTTACTGTGCTCTCCACTGATGACTCAAAGTCCTGGGCACCATTAGCAGGGCTAGTGCCTGAGCGGGGCCCAACTCGTTCGTCAGGAAGGAGAGACTCCACTGCTATCTCTATGCCTAAAATCCTTGCAGCTCTTGCCTGCAGTGACTCATTTGGAGGGATTTCCACTGCATTTACATTTGAAGAATGATCAGAATTGTTAACACTAGGTCCTGACGCTGTATCAAGGCCCACTGACCTCAAATCTGGCTCAGAGTGACCTTGATTCCTTTTCGTTAATGACAAACGTACTATTGTGCCTCTCTCTACTACTGTGTCATTTCTGGGAGTTGCGCCTTTGTTTGGTTTAACACAGTCTAGATAATTTTGATATTCAGTCATCTCCTTTAAGTCAGCGTTATTGAAAGGATTACTGTGACATGAACTGCTTGGGCTGCTGGGCAAAACTCCCTTGAGAGGGTCTGCACTAACTATCTGTTTGTTTGTTCTGCTCTTGGCTTCCTCTTTTCTCATTTCTGTTATCAGACTTCCATCTGCTGGCCTGACTACTTCACTGCTCTCTCTTGGCTGCAAAGAGCTTTGTGATCCAACACAGCTCTGCTGATCACCATACTCTGTCCCCATACTCCAACTTTCAGACTTACTTTTAACTCTTCCTGACTTAAACATAGGAACCTTTGGCACAACGCTTTCCAACTGCCCACCATGTTTTGGTTGCTGGTTTGATTTCTCATTTCTGAACGCCCTTCTCTTTGTAAGGGCACATTCTTGTGGAGAAGCTGCAGCACTTTCTGAGTCTTCTTCACTGCTCGTGCTCTCTTCCTGTCCTTGCAGTTCCTTGTTAAAACTTTCTAGCTCACTTATTGCATCCCAGGGGCGGCGACTTACGGGTTTCAAAAGGAACTGGCCAAACAGCTCTTTACTGTGGCACAGAGTGCTTGCTTCTCCCTTAACTACATCACCCTTAACTGCATCACCCTTGGAACCCAGGCTACTTTCCCTTTCCTGGGCAGGCACATTCCTGCTGGGCCCAGAAGGCTGGCTCTGATGCGCCTTTGGCAAAGGGGCCTGGAGAATAGAGGTGGCAGTCCTTGAAAATGCACTGTTGCTAGATTGACTGAGGTACGTCTGACCCTTCATGCTGTAAGCACTTTGTGAGCTGTTTCTCTCATCGGAAGGTAACCCTGTCTGTTTTGACCCTATCGTGGATGCTGTACATCCTAGGAGCTTTGGAGTTAGCAATTTATTACTACTGGGTTGCCCAGGGTTTGTACCATGGAAAAATTGTGGGCTTTTAGGTTCTTCAGTGAAACTGGTCTGCGTTTGCTGGTCTTTGTACTGATCACCTGGCCAGGAGCCAGAGTATTTGAGCTCTCTGTGTTTTGTGGGCTGAAGAAATCTGAGGTCATTCATTTGTTTGAACTCTTCTGGTCTCCACAGCTCTTGTTTTTGTAACTCATTTTTATTGGTCATGTTTCCTGTAAGCGCTTGTAACTCCAAGTCCGTTGAAGACATACTTAAGAGACTTTGTTCTTGCAAAGCCCCATTGTTATCAAACCCATTCTTATCAGGGCTCTGGGTTATGTTGTTGTTCCTATCTGTATCTGGCAGGTTTGATTCTGATTTAACTGGGATGGAGACCAAACAAAATATAGTTTCATTCATTTTTTTCTTTGAACTCTTTTTGCTCTGCATCCCAGTTCCAGGTTCAAACTTTTTCACTTTTGTAACAGTCTCACAGGTGCTGTCCATATGTGAATTTCTTACAGAAAGTTTGTCTTTTGTGTACTCTGCACTGACTTCATTATGGGGATTGTGGTTAGTTGTGCTACAACTGTCTCTTTGGTCAGGCAAGGCACAATTTTCCTGATCTCGGATGGATGGTGCCAACCATCTGTTACTATGGGTGGAGCTGCCAGAAGTTCTTTCTCCCTTTACAGAATTAGATAAGTTTGATGCATCCAAAAAGGCACTGTTGTACTGTACTTCAAGATCTCTGTCTTGCAAAGTACCGGAACTGGGACTACATGCATTTTCAGTGTATTTAGTGTTGTCCTGGAGACCTTCTGGTGGTGCAATTTTAATATGTCGTATTCGAGGATCATCAAAGGGAATATACTGAACAGAATGCAGGTAGTCAGCAGGACGCCTAGCATGGCTTGGCTTTCCGTGAGAAAGATGGTTGTCTTTGTAAGGTTCACCCACTGTTTCAAAAGCATTTGTGGCTGGTCGTTGGCAGGTGGCAGGCCTTTCTGCACTATTCTGCTGATCGCTGTTGGCATGTACATCACTGTTAGGCACTTCACTGAGGGAATGTGGAGTCACACTCTGGTGAGGTGGGGATTTGTAAGATGGAGGAGGTACATAGACAGGGGGTTCCAAACCAGAGTCTTGAATGCAACCATCTTGCCTTGGCTCATTAACTTTGGCTAAAGAGGAAATAGGTTCATCTTTCTGATAGGGGTCCTGAAAACCACTCGTTTCTGCAGGTGTCCTGGTTTGCCGCTGTAATTCATAGGACAGAGGTTTCAGAGGTCTTCCATACTTGGGTTTTGCCAGTGGTAGGAAATGGCCTCCTGTTTCTTGGTGTTTGATTGATTCCAGAGTTAGTCTGTTTGGGGGATAAGGAGGTGTTTTAGTTCCACTGAGAGAGCTGTTACTGTTCATCAGAGAGGGCATTTCCACACACCTCAGGCTCTCTGGTGAAAGAACTCTTGGCAATGACTGTGACTTCCCTTTGTTATGGGTGCTCAGTACATTGTCTCCCAGGGTCAATGAGTACAGGTCTTGAAGCAGTTTCTCCCTGTCACCATCTGACATTTGCCTTCCTAATTTTTTCGGTTGGTTCCAGCTTTCCATTCTTAAACTTTGCCATTTGCAGTCACCAGGCACTTTACAGCTCTCCTGCAAACCACTTCTTCTTGCATACTCTGGGCCTGCTCCTACCTTGAGCTGACTTTCTTTAGCATGCCTGTATGCCCCATGGGCTGGGGCCAGTCCTTTCATTTCAGAGCCTCCTTTGTGGGAGTAGCCTAGTAACACACTAAAGTCTTGTCCTCTTCTTCTCCAGTAGGCAAGATCTTTATCTGTCTTGGGCTGGGAAGACCATGTTAATTGAGGTCTGTCATCAATCCTGAAAAAGAAACACAGTGTCACAGGCAATTTATACAGATATCCTTTCTTTCCCTTATGGGTAATTCTATTAGGAGGTCAAATGTTGAGTTATGCCAATGGGGTTTCTGTAATCTGTTCACAACCAGAAGACATTATGATTTTAATGAGCGGATTTAAAAGTCAGTCATTAACATGAGCAAAGGAATAGTGAAGGAACCTCTACTCTGCTTGCATGTTGTTAGCTATGCAAAGCTGTTAGGAGGAAAAATAAAATACATATAGCTATGTGCAAACATATACAGCCCTCCTCAATGGACATGAGCAAATAAATATTATTAAGTTGAACTGATTTCTATGCTCTGTTACATCAAAATCTATTGACTTCAAGGCAACTACTGTGGTGGAGAAGTTTAATAAGAATTTAAAGCTAAAAAGCAGAGGATAGACAGAACAGGTAGAGGGCTAATTCATAAGGTATGCTCTGTAAGAAGTATGATTTGCATCCTAGTACAAAGGCTCAAACTGAACATGTCATTTCCTGCTTTGATTCTTGTTTCTTTCTGAGGGGACAAATTTCTTTAGTGTTTGAATAAAATGATACATACCACAGCAACGGTCATGTACTAGTGCAGTTCTGAATAAGATGGAGCCAATATTTAAAATCTTAAACACCTTAAAAGAAGTGTAATATTTTTAATTAAAGAGGGATTAACTCCAACAATGTGTCGCTGAAATATGAAAGACAGTAAACATTTTATTGCAGATAAAAAATCAGAACACAGATTTACATGAATAGAATAGGTTCTTTATGTGTTCTGAACAGACTGTAAATTATTTTACATATTATTGCTGAATGAAATCGGTACCTTTCTATGTAAATAATTAATCTTCTATTTGAACTATTTTCTGCTATTCTTGTACCTAAGGTGTCCTACAACATAACCACCATTACACTATGTAGCTGCCACCAGCATAAGACTGGAAAGAAAAATCAAAATTGACATAAATAGGACAAGTATGTAGACAGAGCCCAAGAATTTCTTCCTCTTCCCTTAGTCCCAAGGTATAAAAACAGTTTCATCTGGCTTTTTTACTAAAAAACAATTGTTTATTTAAATATTACTTTATGAAAGCATGATAGAATTCAAAATTCAGAATCAAAATTAAGCAATCCAGATTCACAGCACTAGTCAATAATTTTTTTAACGTGTATTAACTTCATCCTACGAATATAAAAGTTTAAAAACCAAACTGGGATAAGGCACAGGGATAAGGTTCCTATTAAATCCACTGGATTAAGACTTAACATCTGAACAAAACTTTCTGCCTCTGAAGTACAAAGTACAGTTCAATTGGTGAACCCCCAAAAGTAATAAGTCTTCATTAATCAACGAGATATAACAGGACACCTCCTATATTGGAAAGTTGATTGCAGTAATGATGAACATTTCTGTATCTCTCAGCATGCAGAAGCATGCAAGTGAACATATGCTACCTTCTTCTGAGATTATCAAATCTACCTTTTCATTTCATTCCCATGCTTTTATGGCGCCATTTACATCTGTGTTTACAAAAACAGGTGAGAAACAGGGTCTAGCAACAGCAAGGAGGGAACGGACAGATTGCTCTTTCTGTTCTGCCAGAGGTACTAGGAACACAAAATACCTGGTATGATTTTATCAGTCATTGTAAAAGGGTCTATAAAAATCCCAGAAACTACAGAGTCATAGATTATAGGATTAGAAAGGTCCATTATAATTACTTAGCTTGACCTCCTGCTTAACACATGCCATCAGACTTCCCTGAAATGATTTCTGTTTCAATGGCAGCACGTCTTCTAGAGAAGCATATAGAGATCTTGATCTTAAATTTTCCATCGAGGAAGAAAGTGTCACTATTGTTGCAAAGGTTAATCCACAATTTAAAAAAACCTCTGAAACTAAATATAAAGTGAAAAAAAATTCTTATTCAGCCAAATATAAAGAAAACTTTGGGGAAAGGAGGTATGGCAAACAATAACACTGAGATTTGCAGCAATTGCAACTCACAGCAGAGGAATGAAATGGGCTAGCTATTTAAAGGGTTTAACAGGTGATTGGTAATAGATAAGCATTACTTGATTCTTTCCTAGGAAGTCACTAAAAACAAAAGAGTTTTGGTTAGTTTGCCTTTTTTTAAAAAAAAAAAAAACAAACAAACAGGCAAAACCCAAGTTCAAATATTTATTGTACTAAATTAGGCATAAATTAGGGCGATCTAGCTTCAGTTACAGAAAGCATACTCCTCCATATTTTAAAGCTGTTTAAAAGATTACATTTCCTTTAAAAGATTAAAAGATTAATAACTAGGCTACAGTAATAAACTTCTAAACATGATATAAAGCACCCTGTGACCTCTACCATGTCATGAGTGCAAAGCAAGAATAGATAGCACATTTAAAGGGAGGCATTTAAAACTTTTGTCTTTTCTATGATACATTCACGAAGCAGAGAATCTCTCCAACTACAGGCTCAGGCGCTAGAGGTGGTTACAAGGGCAGCCCGTTTCCTGGGCCCTGTAAAACCGTGCGGGAAAGGGCTGCTGCAGTCGCCTCAGGGACTCTCTCATTTTACCCTAGGCTGAAGACTACTTAGACCCCTCTTTGCAGTGTTAAGCACAATACCCGTGTGCCAGCACCCAGCACGTGAGCTGGCAGGCAGCCCTCCAGACAACGCATGAGCCTCAGAGCATAACTGCACCCTCCGGCAGCAACTGGGGTGTGCAGTGGCTCCTCCCAGGTATCTGTCACTTCTAGGTCCTGCAGTCCTATAAAATGGTGGAAAGGGGAGCATCCAGGGGCCATCACAAGTTCAAAATACTTCACTACTGCAAATTTCTGCCTTACCCCTTGACATAATGGCACTGATGCACAAAGAAATGCATATGCAGAGACAGCAGCCTGCAAGCGCTTCACAGCTACCTCTCCGACGGGGTGCCAGTGACTGAAGTGGCCCATGGGACCAGCCAGGAAGATTTAAATCCTATGAACTCTTTTCTAAAAGGTCTGCTTCTCAGCGATGTCACATTGTGAGAATGTGCTATGAATTCGTTCTATATAAAATTAATCTAATGAAAAATTTGTTTTAAAAATAAACTATTGCTAGTTTTCTATGAATTTTAGGCCTTTGCAAGAAACTAGACAATCAGCCCCCGCTGCGTTAACTGCATTTCCCTGAGCAGCAGCTATCAGAGCAATGGGTAGAAGATGCCTTGCTCCCCTAGAGCAACGCTGGACCAGCAGGACCTTACAGAAGCCACGTAACGGGAACAGAAGTGCAGGAGCACGGCACAGGCTGTGAAGTCAAAACCCTGCAGACCGAAGCCACTTCTGGGTTACCCAGCAATACCATGGAAGTTTCTGTCTCGTTTCTGGCTCCCTGGGTAACCTTTAGGAATAAGGCACCTCTGTGCTCAGGATGCGCAAGCTGCTGGCACCAGGGGTGACTGTGCCTAGTGGGCAGGCCACTGTTCAGAAATGTCCAGGATTTGGCAGCAAGGGGGCATGATTTTCAGAGAACTCTTCTGGCAATTGCTGTTCTTTTGGGGGATCCTATCTTTATATATACACTCTCCCAACATTTTGAAACAACAATTTAGTTTTCTAATTTTTCCAGTTAGGTGATTTCATTAATGACAGTATCTACTTATGTCTAAATTTGCTAGGTACCGACCTAGTCCCTCCTTCATCTGCAAAAATTTCCCATGCAAAAACTAAGCAAAGTGCATCTCTGCACTTTTTCTTCCACTCAGGAGAGAAGCAGGAAGTAGTTCTTCTGTGGACCCTCTCGTCTCTACCCCTAGGGTCAGCTTCCCCATTTTTTTTGCCTCATTTAACTCTTTAAAGCCTTTACTGGGCAGTCTCCTAATACTCAGTGAAACAAGGGCAGCCGTCAGACCACGTGACCCCCATGGCCTGCCTGAAGAACAACGGGATGGAGCAAGAAGTCAATTCCCTGATCCCTGGAGAGTCATGGCCTCTTGCAACCTGCAATGGCTGTGTGATGTGCCCACGTGTAGCTGCTTCAAAGCTGCTCTGCATCACACCCCTGGCCATTACAAAACAGGCTCAGCTCGGCAACCTGTCTGTAAAGGCAACAATAAAGCGGGCGACATTGCTTTTTTTGTGGCTTTTTGGAGGGTGAGTGTATCTTCAACATCCAGTACTTTGAGCACAGATAATTGCCACCGCTGAGTAGTTTGAGTCATTCTATAAATTCCCATGGACCTGGTCAAGGTCTATGAAGCTAGTCAGGTCCCTGACTACCTCTTTCGGCTTCCTCTTGCCACAGTGCCAACATCTGCTAGGTTGGCAAGGCAGCATCACTACCTCCTGTGTGTGCTGGCACGCTGTGCCACACAACCTAGTTAGTGGATGGACTGGAGGCAAGTGACAGAAGTTGGTGCTGAAGTTCAGCCTAATTACAGAGTATTATTAATTAGAGCAGTTGCTAAACACAGGAAACCCAAGCAAAACTTTCTGCAAATTGTTACCAGCTGGAAGCTTTTAAGAGGCCAATCCAAAAAAAGGAGCTGGTAACATGAAGTCTGTTAAGTCCAAAAAACACTGTATTTGCTAGATGCCACCTCTTTAGGCCTAAATGTTCTCCGAGGCTCTGCAACATGCAGTTCTGTCCCAGTGGAAGACCAGGAACCTGTTTCCCAGTATGATTCAGAAACCAGACAGAGTGAGATCAAAATCCCCAGTGGAGCTCATTACAGGCCAGCCCATAACAGGCCTAAACTCCCCAAAGTGGGCCCTCACAAAAAAATGTACTCTTTCATTTTAACACAATTCACCTTTGCATGACTACCTCCTGCCTCAGATCCTGCCCAGGGCAGGGGAGGCCTGGACTACCCTCAGAGGGAATCGAGGCAGAGCCTGAGATTATCACCCCGGAGCTTGGCAACTTAAACACAGGTGTGGCAGCACTGGACCTGCAGACATCCTGACTTGATGTCACCCAAAGGGATCCCGTGGTAAGAGCAGGACAGCTCCAGGATTGCTCTCCGACTGCACCAGAGGTACGCTGCACATCCACGGACGATGTAAAAAGAGGACTGATACAAAGGCTTTCCTTTTTTCGTAACTCCTAGTACCCTCTAAGAGTTCCCAAGAGGGTCACTGTGAATTAGGGCTGTAATAATAATAGTTAAAAAAAGTTTATATTTTTTTAAAGGGTGACAAAAATATCTCTAGTGCAAGGTTTTGTTCCCTATTTTATGAGGAAAAGCAGCTTTTTAAAACCGAGATATAATATTTAACTATGCTGTAGGCTGACAGATTCCACTGCTTGCATTTTGAGAGGTTAGCAAGAGACATTTAAACTGTCACAGAGGATTATTTTGTAATACGTTTCCCAGCCTACACTTAACAGTTATAGATACCTTTGCCACATCTCAGGCGTGGGGCAGCTGAACAAGCCCACACAGCACTCACACACTGCAGATTTAATGGCAGAGGCGGCAGTCTTCCCACCACCGACACGCACTCAAAGCACGCTCGGCCTCCCAGCATGTGGGAGCAGCAGCGCTACAGTTGCTTCCAGCCTTGCATAGCCAAACTTCTTTCACTCTGATTTTTCTCCGCGCTGTAAAATCTGCTCCAAGGCCAAGCGCCACCTTCTTCCTTCACACCCTGCATGCCCTGTTTTCCCGCTTCAAAGCTTTTACCCCGTTTTGTTACTTTTTCAGAATCTTTCCTCCTTTCATTGTTTTCTGGTCTACCTCACTGACAGAACACCATAAAGTGTTCTTCCTCACTATCTTTAAAATGTGCATCCCTCCCTTCCTCCTCCAACACTAACCCATCTGCACTAGGCAAAGCCCCACCTGGAGCAGAGAGAACCATTACACACTGCAGTTGGGACTTGCTGCCCTTATGCTGCTTTACAGCGAGTGCATTTGTTCTTCCCGTTATTCTAGCTGGCAATGAGCAGTCATTTCTGCTCCAGGCCAGCAGGTTTGCAGTCGGGGGACACATGCCTTTGCCATGTGTTAGTGAAGGTCTTCATATGAGGACAAGATCCCAAGGCTCTGGTATTTTGTCCTGCTTTCAGTTTCAAGCCCTTTCTGCAGGCGGAAGGGGCTTTTCCTTATAAACTATCGTCATATTTGGGCTTGCTTCCAGTACGGCCTTAGCCCCTTTCCTTTGCTCATATTTAGCACTCCAATAGCTGCAGAACAATGACCGAGGCCAAGGTGTATAGCTCTTCCTGCCCAGCCTCAACTGCATGTCCTCTGCATTAAGCAAGCCACAGTTGTACAAGCGCTTTTACGAAGTGACGACAAGAGCTTCCGTTGGGTTTGAGCCGTTTTAAAAAGAAATCTGCAGGCACCTTCTCATGTTTACTCCAAGAGAACTGCCTTAAAAAAAAACCCTCCATATATGTAGGAACACCCAGAGAGCTGCACACAGCTGAATTTACAGCAAAAGTCAGGGCGCGTACGTGACAGAAGATGCTGGGGTCATTTTTTTTAACTACTCATTTTTGAAAGGAAGAGCTTTTGCCCCACTTTTACTGCACTTGCACCGAGCTTTTCCAAACCTGCCAGAAGGCCCTTCTGATATAGACTATATTGAAAATTTCCCACACCTGGCAATATTCTCCCAATATTCTCAAAGGCCTCGCTCTACTGAAAGGTGAATGGATGTACCACTGCTTTGTGTGGACTTGGAGTGCATGGAGATGGTCACGCGTATGGGAGCAGAAAGAGACCACAGAGAGATAGTATCAGGGGTTAGGGTCATGCTTAGTTATCTGCCAGAACCCAAAGGAAGAGAAAGCAAAGCCATGGCATGATGCTGAAACTTACCCCCCTTCTGAAGTATGAAAAGTGGACAAACCCTGAAGGTCATGGTGGTAACCAGGACCTGCTTGCCTCCCTTGGCTCCCATGGCTGCTTTCGGTGCTGCTCGAGTTGCTTTTTGCCAGAGGTCTCCTGCTGTAAGCACTGGCTCTTGATTCTGCCTCAAACCCATTCAGCGTTCTCTGACCAGATCTATTCTCTGTGACTTCATGCCGATATCCATCATATCTGTTCTCATATGAAACAGGAGGATTTTTCGACAATTTGTATCCGTGAGAAATCAGGAGGTCCTCGACACTGAACATATTGTGCTGGTGTCGGTCACAGCTGTGCCATCAGAAAGCTCTTTCCAGCAAGACCCATCACTGGAAAAAGAAACAGAAAGCTGCTTTAAACACGGAAAGACATCTTTGCTCAGCTGGTAGGCTGCTGAAGCTAAGAGTTTTATCCCCTGGCCTCAGTCCTCCACCCTTACAATAAAACATATTAAGTAAAGTGCATGCAGATGCTGATGAATCATGTGCTGACCTTCCCTAGACAATACACCTACATTTATTCAGGCAAGGAGCAGATGCCGTGCTGCTGCTGAGTCAGTCCATTTAACTGAAGAATTCAGTGATGATTGCAGCTTTCAGTTTTCACCAACTGATCTCAAAAATTATTTGCACCAGAAGTAAGCACACAGTTTGAGGCAGGCATTTATTTAAAAAACATTTTTTCTCCAGTCATGGGGAGATGTGCTTCGTACTGGGTTTTAGCTAGCTGTGGGAGGAGTGGCTAGATTACAGGGCAATGGAGCCTCTCCCTACAGTTCTGCATATTCCAACTAAGAAAAAAAAAGAGCACATGAACAAGGAGAAAAATTTGCATGAGAACAAAAATGAATTATGCTACCACATAAGAAGCCCAGGTATTGTCATGCAATGCCCCAGTTAAACACTCTCCTTTACAGGTTTTTTTTTTTTTGGTATAGGTTGGCATGCTGGAAATCAGTAATACTCAGCTAGAATAATACAAACCTGAAGATTTCAAGTATGCTCGACTTCTACAGCATGCTTGCACTCATTAGAACGACTGAAAACAACCTGAGATGCCTGTGTTTGTTGTGTCTCAATGATTTCCAAGACACAGGACAGTCAAGATTTTTTCATTCCAGTGACAGCCCTCAATTCTTTACTGACTACAGCAAAGATACAGCAAACTGAATTAGTTGGCTGGAAACAACCTCTATTGTCTATACTACTCGTCTAGCTTGTTATGGCAATTATGGAATACCTATTCTTCTATAGTTTTAAAATGACTGGAATGTAATGGTCTATTCTGTAGATTACGCACAGTAGCGAACGGATCCTAGTATATTCCTCCCTGGTTGAAACAGTGTTATAAGGGAAAAAAAAAGAAAAGTCTGAACAAGAAGTGAAACACACTGAAGAAACAAATTCCTTATGTAAAACACTCAAGATGATTTTACCTGCATAAAGACTTCATTTAATGTGCCTAGCAAGTATTGTGTAGTAGCACTAAGTCCATCTGAGGGTCTAGAGCCCAGCATTGGCAGCTACTCAAAAAGAGATCATCTCTGCAAAGATCATGATCAGCAAGTGCATTTTACACACAGGGCTCTAATGCTCTTTTGGGGGAAGAAGAAAGGGAGAACTCTGTTCACTGCTATTTACAGTAATTTAAATTAGATGGAACAACTTCCAAGGTGGCTGCTGCACATGTATCAGTATTAAAGCTCTCTGGCTACGTTTACCCAGAAGCTGGCAGGTGGGCGTAGAATTTAAACCAGCTGTACAGGTGGAGCACACTGTGCGTTATGGCAGCTTTGTGCCTCTCCAGTGTCCCGTCCAGCGTCGGCTCAGCCCGTCTCCTAGATGCCGCACGTGCCAGCTCCTGGGCGCTCTCCGGCCACGTCTCGTGCCGTGCTGCACGAGATGGCAGATCTCGTCTTGAGGACAGCCCTCAAGATGTGGCATAGAAAAACACGTAGTTTTTCCTGCAGGGCCATACTTTAACTAGTAACCAAGATTGTTGCAAATAGCGGCTTTTCAGCCTGAGACCCTGCTTTGCGTTTAAACCAGTTCGTCTTTAATGAATCTCTTCCCTTTTTTTTACAAGTAATACGACACAGCCTCTAAGCAGAGAAATAACGCTCTGTGCAGAAGGTATTTAGCAGTATGGCCTTGCTAGAACAGGACTCCAAATTCCCAGTAAGTGCCCAGAATAACTAAGTCAGCAAGAAGTACACCTAAGCAAAAGTCAAGGAAAAATCGAGCCGTTCTCTCTCAAGGGAAAGGAAGGTTCGGTGGGTTGTTTTTGAAGGCTGACCTAAAAGGCTGATTTTCCACATGCACCCCACCCCCAAGACCGTGTGCAGCACCAGGTATGAGCAAAGCAAAGGGAACAGCTGGCTGCTAGAGCTGCTCAGCCTCTGAAAGGAGAAAGATCCAATGTGACTGCCATGAACAGCAGAAAGCCTATCGGAGCGCTCACAGGTGCACGGAAGAAATGCGCTTTTCCTGCGATTATTGTCAAGCTGGCTTGGTGCGTTTGTTAACCCCCTCTCTGCCACCCGCTGCAGCACAGGGTGGCCGGAGAGGGAAAGGCAACCCCTCAGCCCCACCACCCGCAGAGAGCGCCCCGGCC